ATGTAATCTGATAAGCCACAAGCACGAAATAAATTTTTATTTTCTTTTTTCTTGCATGTACGCGTAAAATATATATTTATTTTTAAGTGTATGTATATAATACTAAAAATATTGTATTCTACAACCGTTTCGTGTCTTGAATAAGCAGGTGATGAAAAATAATAAGAAGTAAAACATAAGAAATTTGCATGAAAATTTTCTTCGATTAGTTAAGTTTACGAGGCTAATTTGTAGATAATTTCATGCCATGCAAAGCATCTGGCTCATTCGCTATTCGAGGCTGAAAGTGTGATGATGAAAATTGTTCATGTTCCTTAATGGAATTTTTAATGAGTTTTCTTTTGCCTGAAAAAGAGTCGTGTTCTAAGCTCATAATCAAAAAATAATAATCACAAGCGAAGGTGAAATTTGTCAAAGCTTGACGAGGAAATGAAATAAAAACCAAAAGAGAGCTTGTCGAGGACTATAAAAATATTTGGATGGGGGATATAAATCAAAATGACATTTCCGGCATGAAAAATCAATCAAATAGAATAGTTTTTTGGCTGTTGTGATTTTATCTGTGTTCGAAACTAATTTCTTAATGTTCCGCGAGTCATGCATCAGTCGTGAATGTTTAAGTCATAGATTTTGAGATTTTGTAGGTTTTTTAATTTTTTCTTGTAATTATCGTCTATAAAAATGGGCTTTCTGTCCTGCATCAACCATTTTGTCTTTAAAGTCATGCTTGGGCTGGTTTTTAAGGCTCTTCATGGTACCTTACCCTAGAACATTCAAAAGTAGGTCTTACCTCCGAGTATAATGCATAAATAGAGTGTCCAATGTTGACCTACAAATCAATCCCAGCTCCAGAATCACTTTTTGTGATCTCAAAGCTCAACATCATTCCTCAACATCCCCAAAGGTACATAAATTCCATAGAATCTTCTCACACAAGCACTTATAAAGAAGCTAAATGTGACAATTCTGATATGGCATCTTGGAATGCGAATAAAATAAAAATGTTAAATGAATGAGAATATTTTTATGGTTAAATGTGAGATTGTTTCATGTAGATGTGACCATGAAATGTGATACTTTACAATGAGATCATTTAAATGCATTGTGAAATTTTTAAAATCACTTCTAGTGGCTTTTGAAGTATTCTTGATAGATACAAATTGCAGTAATAATAGATAAATGCTTTTAAAGGAATTTAGATGTATGTAATAGTTTTATAGAACTTTAAAGAGTTTTATAGATGCAGTGTTGGTGTTTTTCATCGCTTTGATAGAGCAAGACGAAAGTATGGTAATATCAGTATGTATCAAGGTACTGAGATGAGGTACCATTTATGATTTATGGCACTTTCAAGCTTCTTGACTTTTTGAATGTCGAATTATATTAGCATCATGGTTTTATGAGTCATGAGACCACAGGTCCAGTCAGTTAAGGAACTCGCCATCAAAAAATAAGTTTGATTTGCAAGGTTTTTGAGAGTTTTTAAGGTTTTTTCCCGTCACTCCATTTACTGTCCATTTTAATTACTTACTTCATTGGCTGGGGCGCATGTGGGCTCATTGGCACGCTTAGAGATCGTCTGAAGACAGCTCTATCCTTAGAAATCTTCTGCCAGTTCGGGATATTAAGGACTCTAGCATCCTTTTCAACACATCCAATCCACGAAATCTTCGGTCTTCTTCGTTTTCCGTCCATAAAAAATAAAATTAGCCCCTCGAATCTTTTCTGGATACTCCTCTGCATAAGAGAAGCAGCACAAGACCAAGGTATCTCAAAAAGTAGCTATCCAAGTACCGATGAAGCTAATTTCAAAATTGTAGATTTCATCATCGATCAGAATCGCGGTGCCTATAACACTATGTAGGTCCATCATAATAATAATTATCGAACTGATGAACATGGCATATTTAGAAAATGTTTATGATGAGTCAAAGCCACATCCCTTCTGTTTATAAAACTGCAATTATCAACCAGATGTTTGCCATAAAAAATAAGTTCTAGAATTTACAGTATCCACTCAACAAAATCATCCATAAAACAACTATACAAATACTCCCATTAATTTTCTTAATTAAAAAGTCCATAAATTTATCCATTCACTCATCATTATCGCTTGTTATTTTATTTTAATTTATATTGTTTAATTTTATGCGTGTCCAATTCTTTAGATTGTTTTAATAAATTTATGTCGAAATCAGCAACATAGTTACATAAAAAATGATATTTTTATAAAAAAGTAAATTATTTTTATTTATTGCCTCAACTTTATTTATATTTGCTGATATAAATTACAATTATTAACGTCGGAGCATCATCAATTGAGGAGGCAAAATGAGAGAAATTTATCTGTTCATATGAGTGAATATTAAAATGCAATTTGTTGTGGATTAAAATTAATTCCGTTTAATACTTTTATTATATGTATACGATCTACAGAATATGATGTGCCTGAATCAATATTTTCATTTTATTTTCCTCTTCTTTTTCTTCCACATATGTGATATCATGCATATGACTACATACGTTCAAGGAGAACAAAAAAAAATCATCATTTTTGAATCAACAATGTTTCAATGAATGAATAATCTCTTAATGAAAAATGAGTAAAATCCATTTAAATTATTAAGACAACCGAATGTGTTGGTGATGAGAGGTGAATGTAAGGAGGATGAGGGGATATGATGATGAGAAACAGAGAAGTGAACAGAGATTTATATTGTTTACATTCAATTAAATTATTGCTGGGAAAATTTTCAAAGGTCAATAATTTTATTACAGCAGGATGAAGAGATTTAAATGTTGTAATGGAACGATGTGCAGCTTAAGGGTATTAATGGAATTTTATGAATAAATTGTCTTTTACTTGGTCATGTGAGTGGCAATTAAGTTTTATTGCTGTTCAATTAATTTGCGTTGATCATTGAATCTGGATTTTTTTAAATATCTTTGGTTGAATACAACAGTTGCGTGCCACATAAAACTAGCTGCACAACTGTTGCGTGCCAGACGAAAATTTTGTGCAACTGTTGTTTGTTATTGAAATGATTTATGTAACTGCTGCGTATCATATTAATCTGTTCTACTGTAACATATTTTTGTCTCACAACTGTTGCGTGTCATACTTTTATGTTTCAACTGTTGTATGCCATATTTTTGCAACACAACTGTTGTGTGCCATATTTTCATTACAACTGTTGCGTGCCACATTTACTCATTAAAACTGTTGCGAGCAATATTTTTGCATTACAACTGTTGTGTGCCACATTTTCTCATTACAACTGTTGTGTGCCATATTTTATCTCACAACTGTTGCATGCCATATTTTGTCTTATTACTGTTTTGTGCCATATTGAATCTTAATTAATTTATCAACATCGATATTTAAAATATCATCTCCTTTACTTTTTCTTCAAAATAAAATCAGCCAGCCACTGTATATAAAAGCTTATCTACAGATCACCATAGAACTACATCATCCAACTTCACATGTCCAACAATAATGAATCATAACCCCTAACAGTATTGAGTAGATTATTACCTTCACATCCGACAATCAAATCGCCAACAAAAGTTTATCGGTTTGTTATGAAATATAATAAAAAAAAATCTTGATACTTAACATCTTCATCCTCTTCAACTCATATCTCGTTTCACAAAACATCTACATCTACATAAGTGCATGAATTAAATGATTAAATTGCACTTAATCATCTAGAAACAAGAGAATATGAAAAAAATGAGAGGGTAAACATTCGAGATGTACAGCAATAAATGAAAGAAAACACTTTACATATGAATAATAATGATCAATTATTTCTTCATCATCAAACTAATAACCAACGCAAACAATATCGGTAGTAATCTTGATATAATGAGATACTCAATTTATACTATTTTCCATAATTCATAATGAGATGAATTAAAAGTTTGAAGCATAAAAGCAAACAATATGCATAGTGATATGAGGATGGTGTAGGATGCATAAGGAAATTGGGAAGGAATCATGAGCCTTAAAGTTATTGTTTATGCTGTTTTTGGTGCTTTTAGCAATTCCTTAAAAGTTTTGTTTGTAAATTCTTCAATTGAACCTTTGATGAACTTTAGGTGAAGGCGTTTTCTAAAGGTTATGAGACAGAACATAGCCGAGTGTAGAAGGGTTTAAGTTGAACCTCTGAAGACATAGTTAACCTTAGCACAGGCCAATCGATTTGATATCTGAATATTCAATTAAAATTTCCATTATTATTCCCGCTCCATACACGGTTGATCAGGTATGATCCTAAACCTGCTAAAAACACTGAATAATATATATCATAATTACTCGAACATCCAACAAAACTCAACAATTATGAATCACAGTCAATTAACTCAAATATCAGAATATGTCTGCATTTAATGTATCCATTCATCCGTTGGCTCATTTCAATTCATTTTGCAATACATTCTATTCAATTGAGACTCTTCGAACTATTGAATTTGAACAATTTATGCTGGTATTTAATCTAGCCAACAGAAGTGTCTGCATGTGCATGATAATGCATCATTAACATTGATATTTCATAAAATTAATGAACAACTTAAAAATTCATTTCTAATTGCTGATTTCATTTGTCACAGATAATTTAATCTGCATGTATGTTGAAAATCTGCTGGCTGATTGCTGGACAATTATTGATACTAGAATGAGTAAAAAATTGACCAGCATGAATTACATCAGATTATGGGAAGGAAGTGAATTTTGATGTTGAAAAATATCCGATTTTGATTCTTCTACAGATTGATTTTTTGTCCTCTCTCGCACACAGCAATGCCTGTATGTTTGTGTGTTTTATGCATTTTTATGTTTTGCTGCTTCGTGGCAGTCAAAAATTCTCTCGAACTCAATTTTTCATATTTTATACTTAATTGAGAGAGTTGCTCTCTCAAATTGAATGCCGGCATTGTCTCTACACAGCACAAAAAATAACTGACAGCATTTACTCTCGCAATTCTCTCACAAGATGAGCATGAAAAAAATTCCAAAGCGATTATTCAATGAAGAATTTAACTTTAGTTCAAAATTCTTACGGTTTGATATCGGAGCAAAATCAGTTGTTCTAGTAGTGTCTGTAAGTAACTGAACAGAACAAAAAAAAATCTTCGTAATTTCATGTTTTTTTTGTGTGTTCTTCTCCCCGATGAATGACGATGACGATGATGATGATGACGTAAGGAAAGTGCAAGCAAGCAAATTTATTTCATCGGTTCTTCCTACACGAGTAAAAAAAAGAAGATAACTCGCAGGCAGTGCTTTTTTTTGGGTAATAAAAATTTATTCTTGTGTGGTGATAACTCGACTAAATGACATTGAATAACAGAAATTATCATGCTTTGTCATTAAAAATGAGCAGAGATTTATTTTTTTGTTTGAAATTTTTTTTGGTGAGTTTCAAGGCAAAATTAATTTTAAGTAAGGGGAACTTTATGGTGCTAATGGAGTTGGTTGCTTAATTTATTAAGACTTGCAGTGTTTTTTCTTAAGTTTTTTGCATAAATTATAAATGCTCATGACACTTAAAACAAGTTCAAAAACCTACGTGAATTTATGTCAAGAGTCGTTTAGTATTCTAGTGGGTGATGCATATTTGTGTCAATTTGTGTATATGAAGACAAATTTGATTTATACTTTGTCAAGAAGTTCTTCGCTTTTATGTTTTGCTTTCTTCCGGGTGTATTTTTTCGAATTGATTTCATTTAGCTTAGAAAAATGAATTAATTTTGCTTTGGGGTCGTTCACTTATGATGAACAAGTGGGGGTGGGGGTATTAGCTTTAAAAGGCAACAGAAATACCAGGAAATCCACTGTATTTTTTGAAAAACTGTGTAATATACCTTTAAGTCCAGTGTTTCTCAAGCTTTTTTGGGCTACGGAGAAGTATAGGAGCAGGAGATCGTCCGTTCATGTTTCCGCGACACGCTGGCAACCATCAAAGATGCGGAACTGATGAAATGAAATCAAAAATGATCAAAAAGTGATCACAATATTATTAATTGTCTCCCCACCCTTGGCAACCACTATTGACACATTTAGAATTTTTTTCGGAGAACATTAAAGCTCTGCGCAGCATAGTTTGGGAAACACAGCTTCGGACCTATGAATTACAGTGGAACTCGAACCACATGTAAGCTCTGCACTTTCCAAAGACATAAGGATGTCCAATGACCTAATCCAGATGCTTGTATATCCTGGTAGGCCTGTAAAAGAAGTTAAAGGAAAAGAGCTTCCAAAACTTGACTTGGTCTGGGTTTAATTAAAATTTTAGACTGTTTATAGCAGTGTTGTCCAAACTGTGTGCCGTAGAAATATTTTGGAAATGGTACAAGCTGCATTCTGAGTGCGACTTTGGTCAGTGCTTACCCCCTTAGGTGTGTTGTAGCTCAAAAAGTTTATACAACAATGTTTAAAAGACTTCAGATGTTTTTGATTAATCAAAAACTAGAAGACAGAAAACACAGCTGTACATAGAGAAAAGTCATTTAGAAACCAAATCAGGTATTAAACCATTCTTTACCTATGCAGGTCATCCAAGGCGTGGAAACTCAGGATTAATCCTGAAAAATCACAAAAAAATCCCTGAGCCAGTAAACATGAAAACGTGAAATTCCTTTTAAATCCCGAAATTATTCATCAAATGCATCATGGAATTAAATGGGATTTCACATATCAATGTTAATTGGCTCAATAATTTTTAAGGAATTTTTCAGGATTAATTCTGAGTTCCCACGCCTTGAGGTCATCGGATTGATTTACAAAGAACTGTCTTCTGTTCATTGTAAAATGTTTCTTTAGTTGCGGTCAAAAATATTTAAAACTAGAGACATATAGTCCCTGTTTTGGGTATTTTTTGAGGTTTTAAATATAATTGAGCTGAAAAATAAAGAAATTGTTTTTCTGTTCTGTTAAATTATGGCAAAAATTTTCTGTTTATTCCTCAAAAAAAAAATTCATAAAACATAAAAACTCAACAATAACTTCATCAATAAAATTTTTCTACCCTTGAAACTACAAAAAATTAATTTCAACTTCCCCCATTAATTTTTCTTGTGCATTTTTTGCATTATTGTGAATGACATTGAAAATAATAAAAAATGAAAATTTGAATAAAAAATTATTATTGCTATCATTCAATAAATAAAAAACAAAATCAAATTGTGTTTCATTTATGAGCTTCTTCCCATTCCGAATTTCAGAATTTTTTATTTTTTTTTGATAGTTTGATTTTCATTATATTTAAACGATCGCACAGCACGAATGGAATTTTATGTTTTATCATCGAGTGAATTTTCATGTACAACCATTTTTCATACAGTCTTTTTTTTTGTATTTTATTGAAGGTCATGGTAAGTACAATAAATTCATTTGTCGGCAACAAATGCAGAAAAAAGCTTGCTCGGAGTCTACATGGACGTAATTGTATGTGTAAGTGACTCGAAGCAGTTTTTATGTTGCTGAAAAAAAAAATTAATAATAAAAAACAAGAGAAGCTATGGAGTAAAGCAACAACAAAAAATATCATCGCCATAAATAAATAAAAGAAAAGCAAATTTAATTAATTAATGAAGGCACAGGCAGTATGAGAAGCACACACAGAAGTTTATATTAATACTAAAATAAACTACAGAATCTCTCGTTCTGGCGAACGCTGGCAAATAGCACAAAAAAAAGTAATTTATAATTCAGTATCGTAATTTTCGGATAAAACAATTAGAAGTTAAGGAACAGGCCTTGGTAACAATAAAATTAAATAAAACTTTATCGCTGGGAAATGAAAAACTTTTTCGCATGAACGCAAATTTTCTTCTTTCTTACTTTTCTGTGTCTTATGACTCATGACTAAAGCCATATGAAAACTTTCGAGTCGCATTTTGTGAATATTTAAGTGAAATATTGTGCGTGGCTCCTTCAAAACTCAAGTAGAAAGTCAAATAGAAAGAGATTTTTCAAAGAGTTTTCATGCTCAAAAGTTGGAAAAAGTTACAAAGAAAAATTACAATTCAAATACGAGAAAAAAAGGGAAGTTTAATATGTTGCTTTTGGGGCCGTTCACTTATTACGTTCGCATTTTAAGGGGGGAGAGGGGGCGTGAAAAATTGTAGCAAAATGTAACATAGGGGGGGGGGGGTCAAGAAGTATGTAACGTTCTTACTGTCGTCTGTCTTTTAAAAAAAAGTTTAAAGTTTTCAAGGGGGGGGGGAGGGGGGTAAAAAAAGCCGTTTTTTTGCGTAACGTAATAAGTGAACGGCTTAGGGCATTAAAGAAGATGTTGTGATATATTTTGGAACAATTTTTGTTGTTTTTGGAACTGGATTTCCCGTTAAGAACCCTGGTTGCTAGTTGTTGTGAAGTGGCAGTTAATGGAGTGTAATGAGTGAGGATTCACCAAACCACTGCACTCAAACCTAGACCTACAGTTTATAGTAGGCATCCGAACTATTTCTTTGATGACGTTCCTGCCTGTAGCCTACAAATGACAGCTGTGAGCTTTATCTTCAGTGCATATGGTTCAAAAAAAGATAAGCAAAAAGTTTTCCATGTCTCGTCTCGAACCTATGATCGCTAGGTAAGTATTGCAATAATTAGGTACCGAAGTACTAAACCATTTCGCCATCAAGCCACTTTAGCTTACAAATTAGTAAAAGATTCTTAAAAATCATGTAAATGCCAAAGAAAATCTTAAAATACAATTCATGATCCACTTAAAAATTCTTATCTTGTAAATTTGATTTAAAAATAGCTGGAAATGTCAAGTAATTGATGAAAAATTCATGAATTAGAATTAAATTTAGATGGATTCTACCTTTAGTAAAACTTTTTAAAGGCAATCAGAAGAAGAAAATTTCACAAGAAGATTAAAAGTATTTCGTTGGACCCTGAAGCCTTAAAAAAAGGTCAGCAGAACTTTTTGCATTTTTTTTAAAAAAATAAAGTTTCAAGAAAGGGCAAATTTGAACAAAAAGATTCCATTGAAGCTCATTCAGACATGTCCAAAAATACACAAAATAAATTTTTAAATAGCCGAAAATAAAATTTAAATTAATAAAAAATTTCCTGTCTCATTTTATTGTCATGAAGCTATTCACACATGAACCTCGGCTTGAATTTTATTTTCATTCAGTAATTTTACGCTACAATCGAGAATTCTATTGTAATTTTCAAGCACATGACGTGCTGACTGTCACTTTTCATTATCGCATTATAAAACGAGTCAACGAAGTGTCATGCTGAGAATGAAGGTAAAAGAATGTTTTTTAATGCTCGTTAGTGGTGAATGAAAGGAATAATAATAAGTATTTGCACTGTTGAGGTTTTGTAGGTTAAGGAAAAATGTGGAACTGAATAGATTTTCATTTGTTTTTATTACAGTAAAGCCCAATGACATTACGGATTATTATTATTATTTTGATTGAATTAAAATGTTATTAAGGTTTTTGGGATTTTTGGTGAGTGTGGAAATTAAATGCGTGAATGGCAAGAGATCTAGAGGAAGACCAAAGAATACCTGAATTGGACGTGTTGATAAGGACGCTAGAGTCTTAAATATCCCGAACTGGCTGAAGATCTTGAAGGTCTTAGACGATTTCTGAACTCGGCAATGGGCCCATTTGCGTCCCAGCCAAGGAAGTAAGTAAGTGGAAATTTAAAAAGAATTGAAGTCAACTTTCCAAAAACAAATTTTGATGTTATTTGGATGCTGTGAATTAAATCAGATTTTTGACAAACTGAATCTCCTTATCGATTGATCTATTGGCCTAGGGTCTTCCAGGGGCCCAATAGAAATTAATTTCGATGTACTAAAATGTGAGATATTAATAAAATAAATCTGAAACTTCGGTATGGTGCCTCGGGTAACACCACAAACACTGGGCCCTCAATTTTGAGAAGTTGAATGATCGGGTGTGTTGCATAGGCTGGACTGAACTGTTCTGTTAAATTTAACAGAACTATTCTGATAATTTTTTTGGATTTGTTCTGTTAATTTAACAGAATTTTTCAGAACTATTCCGATGAGTTCTGTTAAATTAACAGAATATTTTACAGAACTCTTCTGTTATTTTATTTTTGCGATTCGCATTTTTAAAATTTTTGTTTACAGAACTGTTCAGATAAAAACATCAGAATATTCAGCATCGTAATATCAGAACAGTTCTGATAATATCGGAATTCTACTGTTATTTACCTTCACTTTTATTATATTATTATCAAAGGTCATAAAAGCCAGTGTTGATAAAGAAGGTGCCTTCAAGCATAGTCTTGCCCATGACCAAGGCAATTGTCATGCAATTTCAACTTGTCTACGCTAGGTT